TCGTAGATACTTCAAAGTATGTATCGTCAAACACTTTTGTAACTTAATCCAGTGTTTGTTTTTGTAACAAGCGATATGAACAAATCTGTTATCTTATTAGCATCATCCCATGGGAAGTAACAAAGTATGTGCTGAGTTAGTTTCAAATTTTGTTTTCTTACTGAGAAATATGACATGATCGTGATTGCGCATATAAATAAAATAAAACGACGAATTTCATCCGTATACAATTATATTTAGAAAATTTTCTGATTTTAGTTAAATATCACAGAAATATGAATATAATACTCAGAATCAGCACGACAGCTTGGGCGTATTATATTACAATCAGAAAAACTAATTTATTATGAAAAATATGTCATGGCGGGAACACCCGCAAAACTTAAGAAACAATTATTGAGAAAGACCACATGTAGTTATTTTTTCTGAAGAAACTTTTGCGCTGAAATATGATTGAACCGAAGTTATTTTCTTTGCATTAATTTTCTACTAACATTGAACGTTGATAGAAGAATCTTCTAAATATGATTGCATATTGATAATTTTCTCTGTTCTTCACAAGTGCCATCAGGGAAATGTCAATCTTCTCAGCCTCAAAAGAAAACCGAAAATAAACAGAAGAAATAATAATTTATAGCTCGACGTAAGATAATGTTAATAAAATAACAATTTTTTTTTTATCAGCTGTCAGAAAATATCACCAAACAAACTTACAACAGTATTTAGCCAACTATACTTTGAAGTGTTGGGATATACTTACACTTCAAGAAACTATCTTAATTCAATTAATTAAAATGCTAATTTAATAATAACTTTCTCCCCTTGTCTTTCATATTGTATCAGAATAAAATATGTTCCATTGTTTATATAATATTTTTACTGGGGCTCGACTCGCTCTATTAAGTCGAACACAAATAAATGATGAAAAGCAATCAATTGATATTTGTATTCTCCACATGTTATAAGATGAGGTTTTTTAGTATTGCAAAAATTTATTTCTATTCTGCTTAAATAATATATATATATACAGTTCTATTTTCCATTTTCTCGTATCATGTGTTAAAAATGCATTTCTAATGGCATGTGCGAGTCACTGTTCTTGTCTCTGTTCGTTTATATTATTGTTTGGCTAAAAGATCGCTCAATATTCTAGTATTTATATGTGCTCAGTGTATGATTCTTTTCTAATCAATAATATCTGATTGATCAGGCGCCAAACTTCTAATCTGGAAAAATCTTGCCGCTCTATCAAATCACTTCTGTTTTTTTTCTCTCATCAAAGCATACGGCAATGTTTTGAATAATCCAGTAGGATTATTTTGCTTTATTTTCGTTATTAGAGTATGGATTTGTCTTAGTTTTACCTATATGAATATTCCATTCTTGAGGTTTTTACGACAATTCGAAGTATGAAAAAATCGACGGAGCAAAGATGCAAAGACAACAAAAAAAGAGAAACTTGAGTATCGACAAAAATAACTAGAAAGCAAACAAAAAGACATTCTTAGATATTTTAAGAAACTGTTCATTGCGTGCATTATACCAAGACAAAAGTGCTTTCTTAAAGTAGTTATTTACTTTTTTTTGTATAGCTTGTTAATCGTAAGAGGTTCATGGTGGAAACAAGCGAAGAAAAGTTAGACATAAACTAAATAGATTGATACGAAGAAGAAAAAAAATATTATCTTTTATACTTAAAAAAATTTTTCTCATTAGTTGATTCTGACAAGAAACCTAGGCCTTTGATTTGCTATCATGGAGTCCAAAAAAACGAAAATTTATGTGTGCTTACTTGTCAATGCCATAATTACCATACAGTAGCTTTAGTTCAATTGGTCACATATTATCTATGATTCAGTTGATTATAGGATAATTTAGGAGCAAGTAACTCCGCAAAACTGAAAGACAAGTATTACACATCTAGATTTATATTAAATATGGAGTAATATTCTGGAACGAAAAATATAAAAAGCTTATAAGGCCATTGTGAGTGTAAGCGTGGGAACGACTGTAAATGAGCAGCCTGCCCACACTCTCGTATTGATTGGAGGATTAGGCAAATATCTGATCGGTGACATAAATGCTCGTTTCAAGCGGAAAAAATGGCGTTCAAGTAAAAAATGCTTAAAAACTAATCTTACGCTAAGCACACTAAACAAATAAACAGTAACAAAAAATATACCATTCCTCCGGTCACGTTACGCCACTGTAAAAATGAATCTGCAGCGGATAAATGAAAAAAACTCGATGAAAACAATGCTTTCGATAAATGAAATATCATTTTTGTTTTAGAAGAAAAATTGGTTCATATGTAATCAAAATGAACATACATGTATTCGCGATAAGAGAAAAATGATTTTGCACGATACTAAGGATGTTGGGAAAATTTCCAGCCGGTTAGATTATAGTTGACTTTGGTTAAAACAATGATCGGTTAATTTGCATGAAGATGGGATGCCGAAAATCATTTACGATATAAGCAAAAGCTTTCACAGTTTTGTGGTGATGCGTGACGAATGTCAAAGAGCTGGTAAGAAGTTTGTTTTCAATGAATCGTTGGGAAAGAAGGAATGTGAAGAGTGAAAATGAAAATGAAAACTACTCATATTTGGTGTTTGTAAAGTTCTGTATAGCATGGAATATGTTGTATATGCACGGATATGTTTTCTGAACAGTGATGACAAAAGTATTCGATATAGCTAAATGCAGTAGCTATATGAAAAAAGAAAATTGCTTCAAGCTTTCTATACGGAAATACAGTATTGACAACACTACTTTTGGACTGTTCGTAGTACATCATAAAAAAATCGAATTGAATATAAAACAGTGGAAATTAATCAAGAGTTTCTTTGTATCAGGAAAGGAAGCGAAAAAATAGTCTTTGTTTCTCCAACCATGTAATGCAAACCGACATCAAACTTGACACAAATAAATGTCAGACATACATGATGAAAGTAGAGCCTCACAAGAAAATAAAACAAGGCTCATCGTGTATAAGCGTTCTTCTAACAATTATCGAAATGTGTATTATTAGGGGTAGCAATAACTTTTTATTGCTACCCTTAAATTTCCATAGGAGTAGCAATTGATGCTCCTCGCATAGCTGGCGCGCCGCCTATGCCCAGGTCGAACACTCCGGTCTGGAAGCGGCCGGTTCTGGATAGTTCCGTTGATTTTGTGGAGGCAGTATTCCGGTTGGAAATTTTTCGGATTTTTTCCGATGATTTCCGATCAATTCCTGCCGGAAAGCACCGGAACTTGGCATGAATCCGCCGGAAAAGTTCGACCGGATTTTTGACCGGAATACTGCTTCCATGTTTCAGCGATTTCCCGTGTTTTCCTGCAGGATACGGTGACTTTCCCGCATATTTCCTGGAGTATCCTCCGGGATCCGGTGGCCGGAATGTTCGACCTGGGACTAAGCATCCAGCATTGACTCGATGGTGTCATATTGTTTTACATCATGCCTTTTTTCCTCTTACATTGTTAGAGTTTCTACGAGTGCGACAGCTTAAATTTTCAACTGAATACGAAATAGTTTGTGCTCTTTGTTCATGACAATATTTTCAATTCTAAATCAAATGTTTAATGAAGTAGCTTTTCTCTAGTCATTCAATTTCGCAATTTTCCAGTACACGTTTCAGCATGTCACTGTAAAAACATATCATATTTGAAAACAATACAAAAACAAAAAAACGCAGTTAACTTGGATAATTTTTGAATTCTTTCCACGGTCGTTGGTCCTTTTAAGTTAAAATTTGTGATCTCTCTCGGAGATATTTGAAACGATGAAGTTCATGAAAATACCAAATTACCCCAGCAAATACAGTTTGATTCCTACGAAAAGTCAACTCTAGTAAAAGAAAGGAATTACTAGATTTTTTATTGATTGTTTCGATGCACTTCTTGAGGTTGTTTCTTTGGTTTGTTTTCATATATAATGTCTTTTCGCGATGTCATGCTACAACATCTACTCAAATGTTAGTAAAAAAACAAACTTGCAAAAAAAAATTTCACGTACAGTAGTTAAAGAAAAGCTACTTCAATAAACATTTGATTTAGAATTGAAAATATTGTCATGAACAAAGAGCACAAACTATTTCGTATTCAGTTGAAAATTTAAGCTGTCGCACTAGTAGAGACTAGCGATATAAGAGGAAGAAGACACAATGTAAAACAATATGACACCATCGCGTGAATGCTCGGTACTTACTGATAAAAAACAAAAATGCGATCATGTAATAAGAGCATTCAGATACTGATAGACAAAAAGATGTTGTAATGCAGGGATCTTTGTCCAGTAAATTAGAATCATATGTCGAAGATCTTTCAGAGAGAGAGCTTCAGATGTTTCAATTTTCTCGAGATCCTTAAGGAACGAATGATACTTGTAATAAAGTCGCATTTCTTCGATTCATTATAGATACTCCACAATAAAAAACGGTGGCCGGATTATGCAATACTAACAATATCTGTATTATAAAATGCAATATAATTTTAAAATAAAGAAAACAGAGTGCTTATGAATTCAAGAGTACTTTGTTTTCCATATTCAAAGTTTGAGCATAAACCATTTTTTAGTTTTAAATGGTATTGTGAAATTACCAGGTGCTATTTAAAACGAAATTAAAAAAATGCGTGAAACGAGTAGCTGCTATTGTCAGATAACTTTTGCTTGCATTCATCTCTCATTGGACGCTATTAACGTTTATAAATAGATGCACCTATGCGCGCACGTCTATTCTGTTGGTTTAAAATTCGCGTGCATTGAGCCTTGATAAACCTTAAACGCAAGTGCATTCTTCACGACACGAAGCAATCGAGCCCATTGCAATAATTTGCATGCTCTAGCCATGTTTCCTTTTTTTTAAAATTAATATATATTATCTATAAATTTACACTTAACAATTATATTGGATCGGGAAAAGATGAACAAGTTTCTTTTTTGTTAAGCAGAATGGTATGAATTTTAGTTCATCAATTTTCGTTTATTTTTTAAATTATTGTTGAAGAAATGAAAGAAGACCTTGTTGTTTCAAATTTTCAATGATTGTTAATGCGTTTGGTACAACAGTAAGAGCTGCTTGCACGAAATTTTTAATTAAACTTTGTACTAATTGTTGAAACATTTCGCTCATGGTTGCAACGAGTGAATCAATATTTTGAGTATATTGGTGAAGAATTTGTACCCATTCACCTGGAACGGTAACTGCATATGTTTCTAATTCTTGTTTGGTTTCAGCAGCCAATTGATTGATTTTTTTATGAACTTCATCCATACGATTATAGAATGCTCGAATTTTATCTTCAATGTTCTTTTCTCCTTTTTGTAAAGCATCTATAGCTTCGCTTTCCATTTCAAATAAACCGTTATATAAATCATGAAGTTGGGTTTTAAAACGACCTGTTAATTCAGTATACTTTTCTGAAAGAATAGTTTTTGGTAATACTGAACGACGACCAATAGCGCTAACAATATTTCCGAATTTATCATCAAGAAATAATTGTCCACCTGAACAAAAAATCAAACAGACTTCTTTTTCTAATGTTTTGAATAAAACAAAATTGTTTTACCTTCAACAAACAGATCATAAGCAGGACCAAATATATTATCCCAAAGAAAATTAGATGCAAATTGAATTCCATTGGCAGTGTCGACTAGTTGTCCGTAAATATTTCCAGCACTATCGACAACATTGCCGATTACGTTATTAACATGATTTGTAGCACCATTCCATAAATTTGAAGCTGTTTGACCTATCTGATTGGTAACTGTTTGGATTGTATTACCAACATTATTAAGTAAATTGCTGATAGGTCCCAAAATGCCACCATGTGCTGAACCAACAAGAAGAAGTATAAGAAGAAGTGAACGCATCGCTTTCGAATTTGATAGTGTAAAGTAATATGCAAATGTTTGAGGGCTTTTCTATTGATATTGGATCGGAAGGATTCTATTTATCACTGATGAGAATCTATAACAGATGGAAATCCAGTAATGGTTCGATTATTGTTTTCATATTATTTTCGTAAATGCAATACAATATTCTGTTGATAATAATTGCTTGTTCGTGTCCAGAGAATATTTCCAGATGATGCATTTTAAAGTCAATTGATAAAGATAAGAAAAATCTATGCTTGTTAAACGTCCGCATAGGGTCTGCACTTGAATGGCACGAGTCTCTGATAGGAGAAGTAGATGCGGAGGTGGGTGATTTCGAAAAAGGAATGTTTACATTGTTATTCATAAAATTTTACAATCTTTTATTCTACTTCACTATTTCTGCTATAATTGTCATGATGAAAACTTTTTTTTTTTTGTTAACATTCCATTTCAAAGATATTTCAATACTTAACAATACATATTGTTCTTATTGATTGATGCCCACAATAGGTATTTTTCATATGTTACACCTTTTTTGAGTATTTTACAACCAATTTTAAGATTTTAACGAGTATAATTGGCGTTTTATGAAATTCATATTTTAGAAAAAAATTCTGTTATTTTATAATAAAGATGAGCTATAACAATGATATTTCAATTTCTCAAGTCAAATTTCAATAAATTGTAACTGATGTTTATAATAATAAACAGAATACTATAGTGTACTCTGACATTGACTAGATATACTCGAATAATACACAGTGGAATGTTCGAAAACACTTGCCATATGACACAAATATGAAAGATAATAAAATATCCTCTGAAAAATGGCTTAGGGCTGTTAGCAGCTTGTCATGTCAATCACTCAGAAAAGTTTCTATGGACTCATCAATGTAATATTTATACGCCTATTTAATCTTAATATACATATGCCGCGATAGGAGATTATGATGTTATATGTATGAGTTCGTACACGTCTAGAAAGTTTTCATTTATTTGCGTAATTATATCAGCTAGTCGATGCTGTTGATATAGATGTCCTTCTTAATGATACATCGGTTTTCTTGAACAATGACGACAAGAACTTCGTACACATTTATAGAAGGAGAATAGCTTATAACTATCTGTCTTCTGAACTCGTTTGTATTTCCATATATATCTAATCAATCAACTCCTCAATGGTATCATTGAATTACAAGGACTTCTTTTTTTTTTCTTTTCTCTTAAACAATAAATATCATCAGTAAGAAAGATCGAGACAGTATCATTTAGTTAGGATAAATGGCTTTCGCAAAATGTCTGTTTTATATTCTCCTTCTATATGGAATAGTTTCGTTAGCATCAACCACAAAACGTCGTCCATTAGTATTTGTTTTATGTTTAAAAGGTTTTCGATGGGATTTACCATATTCGTATTCTCATCTACCGCATTTTCGTCGTCTTGCTGCAATAGGTTCACGAGCATTATGGGTTGACTCAGAATTTGGTGGTAGCCAAACGAACATTCTTAGTCTTATGTCAGGTCTTCATGTTGAACATCATGGACGACGTGATTTTATTGAAACAATACCTGTTATCAATGAACATGTTGGTGGTCATACACGTCTATTTCATTGGCCATGGTTTGATCGACAACGAAATAATTCACTTTATGAACATTTCCGTACGGGACGTAAAGGTCAGCCAGAAATAATTGAATCTTATTCAAATCGTGGTCGAATGTCTTTACAACGTCTTATAAGACATTTAACTTCAATGACAAATAGTTTAACCGATGATAATGATCGAACGAATCTTGTGATGAGCTTTATTGATGAACCATTTATAACATTGATGCGTCATGGAATGCATTCTGATGGCATTCGTCGAACAATGCTTAATATTGATCGACTTATTGGACGATTATTATCAATAACAACAAAGAAAAATATTAATTTAGTTATTCTTGGTGATCATGGCGTTGAACAACTTGATTGCCGTCAAGCAATTGATTTATATAGTATTATAAATCAAGTACAATTAAATTTTTATACTGATCAATATAGTGGCACTAGTTTTAGCTTTGTAGTTTATCCAAAATCAGGTTATACAAAAAAAAAGCACTTTATCTTTTTATCCTAATAGATAATGAATTCTCTTTTTCAATCTACTGCACATATTTTGAAGTACAGTGGGATTCAATATGGCGTTTGAGTTTGATAAATGTTTTGCTAGATTCAGTGAACTCATTATGAAAGAATTCAATTTAGAAATACTTTATAGATATAAAATAAAACAAAGAATGAGGCCAATACATGTCGAAAACATATTTTGATCTAATTTTATGAATAATGTGAACTAAAATACCACATGCGTACGTTGTTGTCAGTTTATATTTGATTAATTTACAGAAACTCAAAAACCCTGAATTTGATGGCCTGCTCCTAACATCATTCTAGTTCATTCGAGGATAGCAGGCATACGCAGCTGTCAGCTCTTCGAGTATTTATTCGGAAACAATATTTTTAATGAGGTGAAAAACGTCGTTAATCATCTGCCAAAATTTGTTTTGTTTTTAAACATGTTACTCATCACGAAATCACTATTTTAAGATCATCTTAGTGCTAAATTATAGGAGAATATCTGATTAAAAGGCTAAGAAAGTCATAAGTCGCTAAATGTTTTTTCTAGAATAAAAAAGATGTAGGGAAAACAAATATTAGTTCTGAAGGTCGAATGTAATTGGAAACCTAAAAATAAATTTTATTTAGAAATGAAAACATTCTTTTAATATAAATACAGCAAATCATGAAAGATAAAGATGAACGATTTTTTTTCTAAGGATAGACGAGTATTATCCGTATATGCGCAAAATTTCAGACCGAATTATATGAAGACCGTAATCTTGAAGAGAAACAACACAAAAGGAACCCTACATGATAATGTTTTATTTTCTTTTTAAAGATTTTGCTCGACAACTTTTACTGGCTCAATTTAAAAAGATACCTGATGAACAAATACAAATTCATTTGAATGATATCGATCAATTCCCACCGAAACTTCGATTGCCAACCACCACTGATAAGCCATCGCCGATTATTATATTTGCAAAAGAAAAATTTTATTTTTCATATGATACAGAACAAAATTCAGATCATTGCGAAAAAACCGATAAAAATTGCGAACAATCAGGTAACCTATGATTTCTTGTCATACGAAATAATCCATGTAATTACTTGTTTTTCTATAGTCCTAGTCGATCACAGCAATGATCCTCATCGTCTTTCGATGCGGACAGCTCTTTTTGGCGTTGGACCATTCTTTAAAAAAGGATATATCAACGAACCAGTTCTTATGACAGATGTATATGCACTATTAAGACAAATTCTTTGTCTTTCACCATTTCCTTCGTCACGCGGAAATTTATTTCATATACATAACATGCTTGATTTAACATCTCTCTCAAATACATGTGCTCATTTGTATTTATCAAGTCTCAATATGATAAAATCTGTTTCATCACGATCGATTATTCAAAATACGACAATCACTAATGAATTAACATTAGTTTATATTAATATAACAGAAAAATATCGAAAACCATCTCCTAATATTATTAAAATGCAGATTACTATCTATTGAACGAATTCTAGTATAGTCTTTTGATCTCAAATTCAAGTTGCAATTTCGATTTTCTTTTCATTTTTAATGGTTTTTGCTTATTTGTATTATTTTTTATGCAATAAAAGATTTTTACTTTATGTTACTTTATGTTCATAGACATGCCAACATCTGTCCTAATTCATTCGCTATGAAAAAAGAAACAGTTAATAATCATCATCAGTGATGTATGTTTTTCTGCATTCGTAACACTGGTCATTTGTAACGTTTTTTTTTAAGCTAATATATATTTCTTTATAAGTAGTAGCTATCGTAGACTAATAGAGATATAATTTAAGTTTTATTCTCCGCATATTTACAAATGAAATAACTATCCAATTACAAACTGAATACTCAAATGGCTCGAGGAAAAATTTTAGTTAATCGTCAGTACTGAAATCGTTTATTAGCTACCCTGTCTTAATAAAAAAAAGCATTACTAAAAAATCAGATAAGCTGAAGTAAAATGAAAATTTTAACATCAATATAGAGGCAAAAATAAAACAATGAATAACTTATCATATCTATGATCCACGATAAATAATATAAATTCTATATTGTTCTTTAGCAAGCGTCCACTTATATTGATCGTATATATGTGGCAAGCGAGTTTGGAATTTAGTTGAGTTTGGAATAGCTTTTTCTTAATTTTTTTAATAGAATTTTTGTTGAGATCTGCCTTTAGAAAATTTTGTATTGATAATTATTCCTTCCATCTTTTTACAAGGTTTTCATATAAATTCAACTCTCTGTACATTTGTTAAACAATGGGGACA